GAGAAACTGGACTATCTGAAGAAAAACATGGCATCAGGATTGGAGGAAGAATCACTAACAACCTGCGATATGCAGATGATACAACCTTGTTTTCAGAAAACAAAGAGGATTTAAAATACTGATGAAGATCAAAGACCACAGCCTCTGGTATGGGTTGCACCTCAATGTAAAGAAAACAAAAATCCTCATCACTTTACCAATAATTAATGTCAAGATAAATGGAGAAAAGATTGAAGTTGTCAAAGACTACAATTTGCTCAGATCAACCATCAACACTCATGAAAGAAGCAGTCAAGAAATCTAATGACATATTGCGTTATGCAAATCTGCTGCAGAATACTTCTTTACAGTGTTCAAAAGCAAAGATGTCAGGCTGAGGACTAAGGTGTGCTTGACCCAAGCCATGATATTTTAAAAAACCTTCTATGCATGTGAAAGTTGGACAATGAATAAAGAAGACTGTAGAAGAATTGATGCATTTGAATTATGGTGTTGGAGGAGAATATCAAAAGTACCATAGACAGCCAAAAGAATAAACAAATCTGTTTGGAAGAAGTACAACTAGGATGTTCCTTAGAAGCCAGGATGGCCAGACTGTGTCTCTCATACTTTGGACATATTATCAGGAGGGACAAGTCTCTGGAGAAGGATATCATGCTTGGTAATGTGGAAGGTCAGCAAAAAAAAAAAGGAATATTCTCAAAGAGATGGATTGTCACAATGGCAGCCGCAATGGGCTCCAGCTTGTCAGTGATAGTGGGATTGGTGTGGGACTGGTCAGTGTTTCATTCATGTTGTGCATAGCATTACTGTCAGTTGGTACCGACTCAATGGCACCTAACAAAAACAACATCTTTTGAGATGATTGAAAACTGATCAAATGTTTTTGATGCAACCACCTCAAGAAGTAGTATATGATCAAGAATCTATGGTTTCGAAGGAAGAAGTCCAAGCTACATTGAAAGCATTGGTGAAAAACAAGACTCCAGGAATGATGATGGAATACTAATTGAAATGTTTAAAAAGAAACTGATGTAGTGCTGGAGGCAATTACTCATCTATGTCAAGAAATTTAGAAGACTGGCCAACTGATTGAAAGCGACCCATACTTGTACCCATTCCCAAAAAGGCAACCCAATGGAACGAGTAATTATTGAACAATATCAGTAATAGTACATGCAAGTAATATTTTGCTCATGATAATTCAAAAACTGTTACAGCAGTACATTAACAGGAAGCTCCTAGAAATTCAAGCAGGAATTAGAGAGGATGTGGAACTAACAATATCATTGCTGACACCATATGGAACCTGTCTGAGAGTAGAGAATATCAGAAAGATGTTTGTTGTTGTTAGGAGCCATTGAGTCAGAACCGACTCATAGCGACCCTATGCACAGCAGAACGAAACAATGTCTGATCCTGGGCCAACCTCACCATTGTTGTCACACTTGAATCCATCAATGCTGCCACCTGGCCAATCCATCTCATTGGGGATCTTCCTCTTTTTCTCT